GGGATAGGTATAGCTTCTGGCCATCTGGTGTAACGATCCACACAAGTAAGAAGGTACGTGTTACCCTCTGAAGTAGGAAGTGGGCCTACAAGATCGATGTGCACATGAGAGAAACGTGCATAAGGTTTAATAGGTAAAAGTGCCAAGTGGAACTTTTGTGTGTTTATGCACCTTGCATCTCTGGCATTCAAGACATGTTCTGGCCCATTTCCTGATATCATGATTAATACCAGGCCAAACGAAACGTTCCGTGATGAGCTTTTGAGTGGCCCTGATCCCAGGATGGGATAGTCCGTGGAGGGCGTCAAAAATAGCTCGTCTGTGTTTGACTGGAACAAGGGGTCTAGCAACACCTGTCGAAACATCACGTAGCATGGTAGTAAGAGAACCAGGAAGCGATATAGACTTGAGTTGAAGCGAGGAGTCTTGTACCTCACTATCATCCTCTTGATCTTTCGCAATGGCTGCAAAATCTATGACCGAGGATGAATCAACTCTGTCGATACACAGACGGGAGAGAGCGTCTGCTGCTGTGTTCTCACTTCCTGCTATGTGGTGTATCTCAGATGTGTATTGGGATATGAAATCAAGCTGGCGGATTTCACGGGGTGAGTGTCGGTCAGGCTTTGAATTCAAAGCATGGGTGAGAGGTTTGTGATCCGTGTAGATGGCGAAAGTGCTTTACACCGAGGTAGGCTGCTAACAGTTCCCGACCGAAAGTGCTGTACTTAGTCTTGGCAGGCTGTAGTCTCTTAGAAAAGAAAGCCAACGGTTGCCAAATACCATCTATCAGCTGTTGGATAGTTCATCCAACTCCCACATCAGATGCATCAACCAACAGGCATAGAGGAACATCAATTCTAGGATAAACTAAAACTGCAGCGTTAGCTAACTGATCTTTAGCGTGATTGAAAGCAGAAAGTTCTTGTTCACCTAGGGTGATTGGTTGGTTCTTCTTCGATCTATTTTTCAACAGATCTGTGAGAGGTTGGAGTACTTCTGCACACCGCGGAATGAACCGTCTGTAGAAATTGATCAGCCCGAGGAACTCTCGTAGTTTGGTAAGTGATGGAGGTATCGGAAAATCACGGATGATCTTCACCTTGTCACTAAGTGGCTGTATTCCTTCTGAGTCAACTTTATGCCCTAGAAGGACAGTAAAGGTACTCCGAACTGACACTTAGCGGGGTTGAGAATGATTCCATACTTTTGCAGGCGGTCAAAGAGTAGACGGAGATGTGTCTCGTGTTCGTCTTTGGTAGTACTAGCTACCAGAATATCGTCGAGATAAACATAGACGAAAGGAAGACCGCGAGTGACATCATCCATCAATCTTTGGAATGTCTGAGCTGCATTGCGGAGGCCAAATGGCATCCTAACAAACTCGAATAATCCAAAAGGGGTGGTTATAGCTGTCTTGTGGATATCGATAGGCTCGACTGGGATCTGATGACATGCCCTGATGAGATCAATCTTTGAAAAGAATGTCTTGCCACTAAGTGACGCAGAGAAATCTTGCAAATGAGGAATAGGGTACCTATCAGGAATAGTACGAGCATTAAGCATGCGATAATCTCCACAAGGTCGCCAGTCCCCTGGTGTCTTCTTCGGAACCATGTGCAAGGGACTTGACCAGTTGCTATCAGATTGTCTGATAATGCCGAGTTCAAGCATGTGTTCAAACTGTGCCTTGGCAATCTGCTGCCGATCTGGAGCAAGCCGACGAGGGCGAGCTGAAGCAGGTGGGCCTCGAGTTTGGATATGGTGGGTGGTTGTATGCTTGACTTCTGAGTGCTTGTACACTGGCCGGGTGATGTCAGGATACTCACGAAGAAGGGAGTGGAAACGCTCCGAAGTATCTTGCTTGACATACACCGGGCTAATGATGCCTGTGTATGTACCGACTCCCTGTACTGTAAGAGTGGTGGTGGTGTCTATCAGCCGTCGATGCTTGATGTCGACCAATAGTCCATATATAGTTATCAAGGAAATCGGCTCCCAAGATAGGTGTAGGTATGTCCGTGACAACAAAAATCCAACGAAAAACCCGCCGCAACCCAAGATCAAGAGTGAAAGATCTCTGGCCAAAAGTCTTAATGGGTGACTTGTTAACAGCTTGAAGTTGGATATTTGTTGCACTTACCATTGCCGATTTTCCTAACATGGATTGAGGGAAAATACTAACTTCGGCTCCAGTATCAACAAGAAAACGCGTGCCTGATTGTTTATCATGAACAAAGAAAAGGCGACTGGGTTGAATGGTGCCAAGTGAACTAGTCGCCGCTATTCCTTGGCGGGCCCGTTTCCCTGGACATATCCAGGGCTGCTTTGTCCTGCTGAGTATGAGCAAGGACTTATGCACTTCTGGGCTCGTTTGCCATGCTTTCAGTGGTACCAACATTCAGCCCCAGCATGTTGTAATGCCGACTCGGGCTACGGGAAGCTGATTGGCGAGGGCCGGAATTCTTCGGGCCTCGCTGTCGACTGCGACTTCTGCGGTCCTCCTGTAGAGAACAAGTCAAAGCTTGCACCTGAGCAGCCAGTTGAGCTACCTGGGTAGAAAGTCGATGTACTTCACCAGAGTCATTGGGAGTAACGCAAGCGTAAGTCTGCGCTGGTACCTCTTTAGGTAAGACATGAGAAATAGTAGGCGGACCAGCAACTTCAACAATTTTGTCGGCTAATGCCGCTAGCTCAACCAAGCTAACATCATCGCTTGTCGAAGCTGTACATTGGTTGGCAGGCGTTGCAAAAATAATTGCTTCAGTATACTAGTTTCCAAAGTATTAGAGCCTAATAATTGTTGCATTCTCCTAAGGAGTTGGGAGGGCGACCTATCGCCTAACTCTTCACTCGTCAGCAATTTGTTTAGACGCTTTTGCTCAGAGACAGAAGTGCTGCTTTTAGTACCTTGTACGGCTCTGTTTGGGGAGGGGCAATTAAAATATCGCGCACCTCTAGAGCTACCTCTGGTTGTAATGAGGCGACAACATAAGCGAACTTTGTAGACTCAACTGAGACACCTCTAGTTTGAAACTGAGCCTCAACCTGAGCAAACCAAATATCAGGATCATGTGCCCAAAATGGTGGAAGCTTTAAGCTAACATATGAGAATTGAGGGGATGGTTCAGAAACCTCACTAGGTAATACATTGCTATCGGTATCAGGCATGATAATGACGACGACAAGGTAGATTAGATCAACAGAAGAAAAACAAATATGGATCACGTCGGGATCACCAGTTTAGGGAATTTAATCACCTAAATAAAAGAAATAGAAATAGATTTCTTTCCTACCTTGTCTCGTAGAAACACCTGTTGAGTACAGATACTTGGAACATATATTATATCACAAGTAGTAGTTCAAATATTGCACAGCACCCGTAGAATGAAAATGTAAGACCATGTACAAAGTAATGACGCTTCTTCGCGAATTAAGTAAAGAAGAAGAAACTTATAATCTCTATAAAGTAATAAGGCCTCAGAACCGAGTAGAGAAACAAGCGAAGAAATAGGACAAGAATTGAGATGAAGCTGAATTAGCTTTGCTGTAGATCGACTCTCTAGAATACATGTGCTCTATATGAACAGCTCAGGAGAAGTGATGAAAATAGGTGTGGCAAATAAAACAAGTAAGTGTAATGTGCCTGTACAGTATAAGCTATACCAGTACATTAGGTGGTTGCACATCCCATCCCCCCGGGGGGTGGAATGTGCTTGCCAGAATAAGTATGTCTGGCACTCTAGTAATGCAACAGGTGTCACTAAAGAAATGAGTGACAATGGAATAAAAGGCTAGACTTCAAGCCACACAATAAAGACAAGACAATAATCTTTACAAATGCAAAGTTCTCCAAGGGTCAAGTCACTACAAAATCAAATGCAGAAAAAATGCACATAAACATGTACATGGTATACAGTCAAACCTGCATTAGTGACTACCTGTCTACAATGACCACCTGACCCACCTGTCTACAAAGACCACATTTTGTTTGTTTCCCTTGAAACTGGTTTCTCATTGAAACATGTACTTAAGGAACCTGTCTACAGGTCGCTATTGACAGGTTTGACTGTACATGTACATACGTACATGTACAATACTGGTTCACTGTAATTGTAAAATAAATACTACAGATGAATAAACTTGAGTGATGACAATCATGGTGATGAATGATGAGGAACTTAAATTGGAAAGCATTTTTCTCTTGAATCACTTCCCCAGGAACGATGCAGATTGCAGACCTGTTTATGTTTTCAGTTACTGTAAACGTGGCAATATTGCTTTAATTTTCACAGATTTTGCGCTAAAGTCAGTGTCCACGAATATATAAGCATGACTTAAATGTTTTGAATGGGCAGAATTGCGTGCAAACGGTGCAACGCTAGTTTAAGAACCCGCGAATATGTTTTGAGGTCGCTCAGTGCGAAAAATTAATCATGCGAAAATAACAGCGTTTACAGTATGATGAATACTCAATGAAAATTATATTACATATTGATCGTACTCCATGGTTGGTACAGTACATGTGGGAAGAGCTATGTGGCCCACACCCATGATACACTAATCCATGTATCTCGTATCAAGGGCATACAGTGTAGATGTTAGACAGCTACAAAAGTAGATACATGTATGTACATGTACATCTACATGTACGACTGTATGTATAGCTGGAATGTGTCTTTGTCTTAAACTTGATGCAGCATGTTTAATTGATGTACCAGTACTCGTATTATTATTATTATTTTTGTAAGAGTTTTCTCATATATGTATCATGAGGTAAAGAAGAAGAAAAAACAGTACTTTTCAACCTTGAGTCATATAATGTGAATATGATTAGAAAAGAAAGGAATAAAAAGGAAGATCTATAACAGAGAAGTGAATACTGAAATGATGTCGAACGGTGAGCAGCCAAGACAAACAATGTACATGTTTATTGGTCATGAACTTGTATGATATTTTTTGGATTTTATTGTTGGAAAAAAGGATAAATTGATGTAACATGAAAAATTAACCAACTCTTTTCCTTTCTTTCTTTATTTTGTCCAGGTTGAATTAGCATTATGGGAAACAGTAAGTTACGAAGAATACGACAGAATGAGATCGCTCTCATATCCAGACACAGACGTTATACTCATGTGCTTTGATATCTACCGTCCAGGCACTTTGGTGAATATCTGGGAGAAATGGACACCAGAGGTAAGAACTAAAAAATATTTTGCATCAATCAATTGTTAAAAGGTTAATTGTAATAGTACACTACCACCTATAGGTTTACAATTTCTACTTAAAATATAATATGTGAATTAGAGGTATTGAGGTACATGTACATTTTTAGATGGGGTCGTCTGTAGCCGCCCTGAAATAATTTAAGAATTGCATACCGGTACTTGTACAGATATTTAGTGAGGTGGTCAATTTTTAATTTCTAATACATAATCTCTTTCGTTTTATGACAAATATAAGAAACTACTTTTTATGATACAATACCTTTAGATGTACTTGTAGCACGGTTGAGGATATTCAAATTCAACTTCTTTATCTGGTCATGAATTTAAACAGATTTATAGGGGTAAAAAAGAATGATCCTGAAGGTCTTTTTAGTTGTGAAATTTTGTGTAATACTGTTCTCTCTTTCATCTCTTCATGTCCTGTCTAGGTCAAGCATTTCTGTCCCAACGTGCCCATCATCCTCGTGGGTAACAAGAAGGACCTTCGTAACGACGACAACACCAAGATGGAGCTGCAGCAGACCAAGCAGACCCCCGTCACGTACGACGAAGGTCACCAGATGGCGGTCAAGATCAATGCTGCCAAGTACATGGAGTGTTCGGCCAAGACCAACGATGGGGTGAGGGAGGTCTTTGAAACGGCCACAAGGGCAGCACTGCAGAGCATTGAGAGCATTGAGAGCATTGAGAGCAAGAAGCGCAAGAAGAAGCTTTCATGCAAGATCTTCTAAGACATCGTGTAAGATCTTCTAAGACATCGGACAATGATCAAACTGTGTCAGTCAAACAAAGCTTTTATTATTAAAAGGCACATGTTTCAGTAAACTTTGGAGCTATTGAAGTGAGCGTGTACATGCAGGAATTTTTCAAGGAGACAATAGGAGGGATGTGTACATTGCAGGAAGAGCATATGGACCAGATGCATTTACCACAATATAACTCTACATTGAAGATGCGACCCCGCGGTGACCTCAGATACCAAGGTCGCACTGGAGTTTGTGAACTCTACTACACCTCGTGGCTAGTGTCTTGAGATTTTTACATAGATCTTCAGGCGGATGTAACCATTTTCTTTGTAGAGATAATTTTGCCAGCTGAGCTCTCTCTCATGTATTACTACGTCTAATTACCCGGAGATTTTTCAAAAAATAGAATAGACCGTAGGCCTAGTAAATGGAACAGCTTTTCTTTCTGGGATGAGTGTTTCACATTGAGTTTAGTACCTGGAAATAAGTTAATTTTCTTGTGTATCATTTTAAGCAGTCAAGCTTGATGCGCATCCATGATGTGATAAATAAAGCAAAGCACTAAATATGCAATATAGATTCGTAATTATTTCAATTGTGAAACACAAAATATTGTCTATTGAGAGCCAGAAGAGTATTATTGCCTCTTTTAAACATATTCGTATGAGAGGGAATCAACACCTTTTCGGCTCTGAACCAAAATTATGCTCTGTTGCTTAATACTCTTTTCTCAGTCTTGATGTAAAATGATTATCCTCTGTTGAGAGCCAGAAGGAAGTAAACTCTGTACCGGTATAAAAAGGATACAAGTTAACAACCTTCTAGCTCGTTTGAGCAGGCGATATATGTTCCTGTATGCAAAGACACCGATTGCAACAGCTCTAGTATTTTTCTTAAGAAATGGTAATTCATAAGAAAGTTACACAAAAGTCATGTAGAGTGTATGTATACAGTATATATGTAGGGAAGGCTCCTTTTGTTTTCCTCCCAGTTTCCAAATTTAATTAGGATTCTTAGTATTAATGGTGATTCACTACGTAATACTTATGGAATTGATTGTGGACGCTTTCATGCTTGAAACTAAGCAATACAAACTCAACAACAAGAGCATTATGGAAATGATAAGAGAAATAAGCTAAAAAAATGCTACTGTGAATGGCATATTCTTGTAAATTATCAAAAGAGTGTGTGTGTGGGGTGTGAGAGAGAGAAAGAGAGAGAGATTGACATCCTTTTCAAGTGTGCCTACATGTATATTGTATTTGAATTTGAATTTGAATTTGAATTTGAATTTGAATTTGAATTTATTAACAACAACACATCACAATAATGACAGTACATATGAACAATCATACAATGCAAAAAAATAATAATAATAATACTGATACATGTATACATAACATAAGAGTAATGTCGATTGAACAGTAATGGTTTTAAAACAATATTTTTTAGACATACATCTGCATACTATTAAATGTACAAAAGATATATACTTAAATATGCATATTACTATGTTTAGGTGAAGTTGTTAATTGGAACTAGAAGTTAGCACAAGTGCTAGTCGAGCCTAGTTCCATTCTTTGGCAAGTTTTTTTTTCTGTTAATTTGTTTTTACATATGAATGTAAAACTTGTTTGTTTTGTATTTACATATATACAGCAAAATAATACAATATCATGTAACTTTTTTTCTTTACTAAAATGAAAAAATATAAATAAAAAAGCTTAAGCGTAAAGCATTATAATGAAAGAAAACAAATCTTTGAAGAAATAAAATCATCAATGTGTTCATAAAAATGAAAAGGATGTATTAATAAAAATAATCATACACATGTACGTACATGCACAAATCCTGTAAAAGCTTAAGGCCGCTATAAGTGTATACATATATAAAAGGAAGACAAGTAATATAAAAGGAAAAAACGAAGGGGGTGGGATTGAGCCCATGTCATTTACATAGAAGGTAGGTGGAAAGATGTCTCCGAAAAGATAACCTTGATGTTTGTAATCTAATTTCATCTGGCAGATCATTCCACAGCTTTGTTCCTACAAACGAAATACAAAATTGCCCTTGCGTTGTCTTACATTTTGGTTGATAAAGTAAGCCACTTTCTTTTCTCCTAGTTGCATATCTATGCTGTATCATCTGACAATAATCCACTAAAGAGTGTGGTAAAAAACCTTTTACCAAATCGTACATAAATGTTGATACAAGAAGTTTATGAAGTTGAAAAATATTTAAAATGTTTAGACTTTGGAAAAGAGCTTTGGAGTCTGTTCTAAGTGGACTGAATGTAATTGCTCTCATTGCCATTTTTTGACTTAAATATATACAATTTAGATTACTTTTGTAAGTGCTCCCCCATACTTCTACTCCATAAGAGAGGTAAGGCTGTATAAAAGCCTTATATAATAACACAAGTATATTCTTGGGAACAAAATGTCTCAGTTTAAACAGAATACCTACTTTCTTTCTTATGCATTTGTTTATCGTCTGAATGTGTTCTTTCCATGAAAGGTGACAATCAATTTCAATTCCTACAAATGATGCAACAGATACCTCTTTAATATTTGATCTTGATATTCTCACAGATCCCTTTTTGTCTATTGATCTAGCTTTGGATTTCATAATCATATAGTTTGTTTTCTGTAAGTTAATTGTGACTTCATTTGCATTACACCATTCCTGCACCTTCATTAAATTTTCACTTACAATTTCTAAATCAATTTCTTTTTGTCTAGGATTAAAAGTATGAAAAAGATTTGAGTCATCAGCAAATAATCTGAAATTGAAAAAGTTTGTGGAGTTAGGTAAGTCATTTATATATATAGTAAAAATAATGTTGGTCCAAGAACGGAGCCTTGAGGGACACCACATGTTATATTCAATTTCAAAGACATTTTGTCTTTATATTGTATAAACTGTGATCGTTTACACAAATAATCTTCAAACCATTGCAAGGCTAACCCACGTATTCCATAGTGTGACATTTTTTTGAGGAGAATGCTGTGGTTTATAGTATCAAATGCCTTTTGAAAGTCAATAAAGATGCCAACTGTTGTTCTACCTTCATCAATGTATTTCAATAGTGTATTTGTAAGATTAATCAAAGATAACTTAGTGCTATGTTTCTTACGGAAACCGTACTGGTGTTGAAACAAGATATTATTTGCTTCCAAATAGTCAATTACACGATTATTTATTATTTTCTCAAAGATTTTACCCAGTATAGGTAAAACTGAAATAGGTCTGTAATTACCAGCTAGATCTTTTCGCCCCTTTTCATAAATAGGTGTCACTTTTGCTACTTTCAGTGCGTCTGGAAATTTACCTCTTTCTATGGAAAGATTGAAAATATATGTTAATGAGCTTGAAATGTATAGGGCAGCATCCCTCAACAATCTTGCCGGCAAATTATCATAGCCACATGCTTTTTTTGTATCTAAAGTCTGTAAGTGGCATTTCAATTCATTCTCTGTTATTGGTTTTAAAAATAGTGATTTTTCTGTTCTATATCCTAAATATTCTGTAAAGTCAGAATTCACTGGTGGTATTTCCTTTGCCAGCTTTGGACCTATGTTTACAAAAAAGTTGTTAAATTCGTTAGCTATTTCATTGTCAGAAGTTATCACTCTATTTTCTCCACCACCTGAGCTTAATAATTTCTCTACATTGGTCACTTTATTTTTGACATTTCCACCACTCAACAACTCGTTAATTGTTCTCCACGTTTTACGACTATCATTCTTATTAATGAAGAAGAGGTTACTATAATATTGTCTCTTTGCATTTCGTAGAACTGTAGTTAGAACATTTCTATACCTCTTGTATTCTTCCTCGTCTTTCTGTTGGAAATTTGATGCCTTTAGTTTAAAATACAACTTGTGCTTCTTCTTGACTGATTTTAAAATAGCATTAGTCATCCATGGTTTTCTCCCAGCATTTTCCCCCTTTTTTAGGTTCTTCGAAGTTGATGATATAATTGGTGCATGCTTGTCACAGACTTGCGTAAACAAGTCGTAAAATACAGAGTACGACTCATTTAATTTTGTACAACCACTTACATTGTTCCAATCAATTTTTCCTAGATCATCATGGAATTTATTAATATCATAATTTCTGAAGGTACGAAACACAGACTTTTTGTGGCTTGTTTTACTTGCCTTTCTAAGATGCTCAAATGCAACAAAGATAGGGAAATGATCTGATATATCAGTTTCTATAACTCCAGCATGAATAGAAGAAATTGTTACATTAGTGTACACATGGTCAATAAGAGAGGAAGTTGTTTTAGTTACTCTTGTTGGTGAAGTGATTAGTTGCTGCATACCCAAACATTGTAAAGAAGTTAAAAATTGTTCTGCTTTCATATCTATTCCTTCCTTGTGTAGTACATTAATGTTAAAATCTCCAAGTAAAACTACATTTGCTTTATCAATTTTCAATCTTTCTAATGTTACAAGCAAGGAGTTTTGAAATTGATCAATATCAGTATTGGGCTTACGATAAATAATACCTACAGTAATTTTCCTACCATTCAGGTCAGTTTCTAACCAGAGACTTTCTGTGTGAGTGACTTCATGGTCAAGAATAACATATTTTAATGAAGAGTGAATGTAAGCTCCAACTCCTCCACCCCTTGTGCCACCTGTTCTACACTTTACCTCAAGGACATAATCATTTAAACCTAAAATACCTTTGTTTGAAACATTCCACACTTCTGATAAGGCAATTATATCAAATTTTGTTTTTAATGTATCTTCATATAACAAATTTAGATTATCAAAGTTCTTATTAAGAGATCTGATGTTAACATGTGATAAACAGAATGAATGTAACATTTGCTCTGATAATGTATTATCAAATAAATGAGGGCTAACATTATGTGATTGAATTACAGAAGCGACCTTCAGAAAATTGCCTTATTAAAATGTTTTTTTCTTAAAACATGATATTCTTTTTTTTCACAATATGCCTTTTCAAACTGAAATGCCATCATGAGATGTTATTGTGTGTAACTTTTGCAATTGATAATTTGTTAAGAAATTATTCAGGGTTTTGGGAGGTGAAATTTTTGTACATTTTCTTTAAGCTGTGATGGGTGTATGTTCTTTACATTGCCAAGAGGTGAAAAAGGGGGATTTCTTTGCCAACGCTTTCACTTGTGTTTTTGCTTGTTTTCTATTTT